AAAATATAATACCTACCTTTGAATATTCCATGGCTAATATTACAAGAAAAACCTCTGCTAATAAAATTTAGGCATTTTGAAAATAAAACTTCAGAATGGTAAGTTTCTATTACATTTGAAAAACTTACCATTAACAAATTCGATAAAATTTATTACTTAATCAAATTTTATTCATAAATACTTTTAAAGTAATTATTTTTGTGTTTTTTTTAAGTTACATTTTTCTTTCTTATAAGTTATATAACTACACCCCTAATTTTAGTAATCAAAGTTCTAAATAGTTGTAATTTAATTCAATATTATTTGGTAAAGTAAGAAATTTTTAAATAATAATAAAATATATTTTATATTTATATGTAATATGTATGTATATGTTTTTTTTTGAAATTACAATTCTGTTAATATCTTCTATTTCTAAATTTTTAATTTTTCTATTACATAATTATCAACTTATAATTAATTTTCAATGTAACTCGAAAAGGTTTCAACAACACTGCTCAATCCAATGATGCTGTTTGAATACACTGTTTTTAACACTCTTTGTTTAAAATTGAGAAGTAATATATTTGCTTGACTAGATCATAAATTTATTAATTTTGCAAGTTAAAACTTCTTAAAAACACAGACAGCAGTGAAAAGTAAAAGATTAAAACATATTTAAAAAAACAGAAGAAAATAAATGTGGTTTCTGTTCCGAAAATTAAAATTTTTCAAATTTAAAAAAACACATAAAAGTAGCTATTCATTAAAATTAAATAAAACAAAATTTCAAATAGACCACCACTCAAAGTGGTTAAAAAATACAGGCAAATACAATTTATATTCTAAAATAAACTCTTAGATAGTTTTGCTTCCGTCTTTTAATAGCACAATTTTTTTTTCAAACCGATAATTTAAAGTTTTTATAGCTTAAAAGATATCAAACTGCTTAAAATTTTAAATTCAAATTTTATGTGTTACAATTCATTTAAAAATTTTGAATCGGCATATGAAAGAATTTGAATTTTGAGTAGAATCGGTTAAACTTTTAAACAGAAAGTATTTGGTATATGGTCAATTTGAAACTTCTGTAAGACCTAAAATTTTAATTGAATGAATCTATTTTTCGTACGCTAAGAATTACAAAGTTCCACTTTAGTAAACTCAAAAAAATTACTATTTGACGCAGTTTGGTTCGGGGTCGAAATAAAAAAATGAAAAACAAAGCTCCACACATCTTATTGCCTCTAAAAATCAAATTAAATAAATCCTAAAATATCAGGTATAAAATATCTTACATACAACCACATTTTGCTTTTACAACTTTTCAAAATAAAAATCAATGCAGCATAACATGAAATAGAACTTTAATTTTCATTTTTGAAACAGAATTTTTTGGATCTTAACTTTTTTAATTGCATCATTTTTGAAACATAGAATTTTTTGGATCTTTACTTTTTTTAATTACGAAGATTTAAAACCTTTTAATTCATATTATTCTATTCTGAAAAGGTTGAGTTTATTCGCAGCCTTGCCCATTCAGGTCCTATGTACTTAGAACTGCACTTTAATTGAACTAAAAAATGTATGTCTGCAAATAAAAACGCCTATTTCATGTCAACGTCGAAACCAAAAAGTTTTGAAACGAGGCAAAACTTATCAAAATAAAAATAACCAAACAGCTGTAAAAATAACGGTTACATAAAGAAAGTAATTATTTTTCGCTGCTAATAACTAACTGTTGAAACTTCAAATAGAAGCAATATTTTAAAATGCTACTTATCTTAAAAATCATGTACATACCTACGAAATTAACAGTTAAAGATGCCAAATCAAGCAATTTGCGAATAGCAAAATATAAAACTTTTATTACTAAAGAAATAGCTAACAAAGGGCATATAATTAGAATATCAGGTATTGAATACCTACGAAATTTACTACATACAACTGACTTTCATTTTATATAATATGAAGCTAAACTCCAAGATTGGGTTCACTTTTCCAATATCGACAAATCAATTGTGTTTTCTCTGAAGATTAAAAAAAATTTAAATAATTATTTATTAGATATCATTATACCCAAAAGTATTATTTTGTGCATTGGGTACTTTCATCAATTTCAATTGACACAAAAGGAATTTAAAAAAAAGAAACTTATTTCTGATTCTTCATTGCTTCTAAATGAATGTTTGTTAAAAAAACAAAAGTAGGCTAACTTTAAATCAAAATACAACTTTAATCCTGATTTGCATGTTAATATTTTCAATTTTTCTGTCTATAAAATTTGCAAAAAAACTTATAAGTCATGATATCAAGTGTTAGTAAATATACATAAATGTAATACAATAAGCGCTCTTGAATCATTTGTTATTTCTGTGTATTCACAATTATTTAATATTTTTCTTACTTACCTTTTACTGTTAGAAATTCAATTCTGGTCAAGATTTAAACATATAAATAATTCCATTTTATTATTTTGGTTAAAAGAAAGCAAAAATCAAATTTAAGTTAAAAAAAAATCAAAATAAAAAATGAATTATAAATTTTAATTAAAACAAACAAATATTTTTTTCTTTCTAAAACTTGAGCTTAAGTGTATTTTGCCAAAATATTCATTTTTTTTAACAAAAACAAAATATTCCTATATAATAATACATAAAATGTGAAAAAATGTATATTTGTAACGTATTTATACATATTTATATGTATACCCGTATCTGCAAGCATCCCCATATATGTAAAATCTATGTAGTTACTTGTAGAATATATTTTATATTACACTGGCGCATATACGTATGTATATCTACGTTAATATATACATGTATTCATATTTGTATGCAGTCGAACTCGAATATGTAAAACAATAGCTTGTATGGCTATTATAAGAAAGAAACAAAAAAGTAAAAATAAGTGATTTTTGGCAATACATTTATATTTCTAAATAAATTTGCCAATAATTTATAATATGAAAAATTAACTTTTTGACAGTTCTTCATCGTGAACAACTGTGACCAAAAACCAGGTATTGGGAGGATTCTCAGGAAAAAGTAAAACTGTTTTCAAAAACAAGAGTAAAATAAAAATGAAAATGCTTTAAATGCAATAAATTTTAAAAACGTTATATAGAAATTTTCTTTAATAACACAAAAATGTATTACGACTTGAATTAATACCCTTATTATGATCGGCGAAGCGAATGGCTAGGCGAGTCGAATGGACTAGATGAATCGAATGACATTTTAAATTATGATCGGCGAATGCTTTCATTCACCAGATCCAAAATGTTGCTACCGCAAAACGTCAAAAACCTACCGCAAATAATGAGGTTAACACCACACATATGTACATTGTTTTTGCTTTTTTGCAAAAACAATAATTGAATTTTCCTATCTCTTTAGCAATGTCGGGGTTTTTCTCCATTAATTTAATTAATGCTCGAACTGTTTTTTGTTCGTTTTTTCAATCAATATATTTTACAATAATTTGTAGTATTTTATGAACTTACTTTACAGATAGTTTAGATTTTTATATTATATCACTATAAATGCTATAATATCAAAAAAAAAACACTTATATATTATTTTGTTTTGTGGTCTATAGTTCTTTTTATAAAATTTTTCTTTACATTATTATGTTATAATTCCTGACATGTTATTGAGATTGATTATAAAGTTCGTCAAGAGAGGACAACAGTAAAATGACATGTTGACACTTTCCAACCCTGCAGTGATTTTTTCAGCTGTATAATTTTTTCAGCTGACTTAAGTATGCTTAAATTTTTCAATAAATACTCAAAATGGTCGTTTTTCTGCACATTTTAACAAACTACATTGAACTTTTGACTTTGCAGAATTATGTGCATATAAAATGTTGTAAATGTTTAGGCTATTTAGTATTGCGATATATCTTTACAATTGAAGTCAGGGAATATCATCAAAATTTACCTTAAAATCAGAAATTTTAATATACGGTTTTAGAAAATCAATCAATTGAATAAAAAAAAAAGTATATGTACATCAAATATTACTATGGCAATAGATGAAAAAAATAGTTTTTCATTTATTCGTGTTCGACTGTATAGTAAATATGATAAATTCGTCTAAACATAATATTGAAATCAACTATTTATTTCTTAAAATAAAAATAAACTTAAAAAATATTTAAGTAATAATAAATTTAATAATAATATAATAATAATAATATAATAAAAAAAAACATTAACAAAAATTTAAAAACTTTAGAAATGAAATTTCAATGCTCTTTTCGCTTACTTTTATACTATTAATCAATTAATTCATTATTTTATAGTTTTCTTACGCATGTAAGTATTTCGGATGGGAAATGCTTTTAAACTCATATAATAATATAATATATACGTTTTTTTCTTTAAATTGAAAGTTTGCCTAAAGCTTCTTAGTTTCCTACAGTTTTCTTAAATAAAATATCTAATTAAATTTTATTCTTTGCTCTTCCTAAAAATTCACTCTACGATAGCTTAAGTTTTTTATATTAAAATTATACTTATTGCGAAATTGCATTCTAGGATCTTAGGATCTTAATGTATTTTCTGTTTTTTTTTTTTTGTTTTTTCATTCTTTTTTGTTTTCAATTTGTTTTTTTGTCGAAAAAAATTAATACTTTATACTTGGGTATTATATATATAATTATATAATTTTGGGCCTTTTGCATTATAAATTTATTTTAAAAAGAGTTTATTATTATTATTTTTTTAAAAGTGCCTATTTATTTTTAATTTAAACTTTAATTTTGTTAATTCTACTTATTATCATTATTACTTTAGTTATAATTATATATATTTACAATTAAAAGGAACTTAGAATACAAATACAAATACATTTACAATAACTTTGTTCATATTTCTTTTTGTTCTTTTCGTATATTATTTTATTTAATTTAAGAGTGTTATTTTCTAAATTGTTTTAAAATTATTAGTTTTTAAGTATTTTGACTACAATTTTATTTTATAAATCGATATATAATTTCACTGTCTTTTTAAATTTATATTTTATGTTCTATATGGGGCAGATGAATATTGATGAAAAATGAAAGTAATTTTATTTTACACTATTTTTACTTAATGCATAAAAATCAAAGGAATAAGGATACAGTTATATCTATACCTGTCTAATCAAAATACTTGATTTGTTTTTCTATGTAGTTTCTTTGTATGTAGTGATTTTTAGGCAAAAATCGTTTTTTCTCCGAAATAAAATTCACAATTAATTTCCTAACGATTCAATTAAATAAAGTAACTGTTTATTTTATTTATATGTATTTATACTCTTATTTTTTAATTCTTTCAACTGTTACATTTAAAGTGTTGCTCAAAGTTATTATGCATATTATTGGGTTGGGATTTTGAAATTTGAAAAAAGTATATTTTTAATAATATTTCAGTTAATTTTATTATTTCAGAAGGTAGTATATCCCATTCCAGTGGTACCAGTATCCAAAGGTCACTGATGCATTTTAGGTGTATGATGTGTCATTCCGATACCTAAATGTAAATTATGAGGATTATGATGAGCTTGCGTGGGTTGACCATGGTTGTGATTGCTACTTGAACTATTATTATTGTTTTGTTGTGAAGATTGCCTTTGGGAGTTTTTTTTATTTTTCATTCGTCGGTTTTGAAACCAAATTTTTACCTAAACAGATAGTAGTACATAAAATAGGTAAGGAAAATTAAGAAAAAAAATTTAATTTTCGATTATTTTTTAGATTTGTTTATTTAACTTTCTTATGTAGAATACAGAAAGCAATTTTGAATTATACTAGATTATATTATTATCTGATATATATATATATATTATTTGATATATATATATATATATATATATATATATATATATATATATATATATATATTAATATTTACCTGTCTTTCAGTTAAATTTAAATTTCTTGCTAATTCCCATCTTTTTTGTTTAGAAACGTAAGCATTAAATAGGAACTCCTTTTCCAGTTCCAATGTTTGAAATTTTGAGTAAGGTTTACGCTTTTTTCTGACAGACACTTGCTGTCCTACCCAATCAATTGAAGACGGATTTGGTGTACATGAGCCAATAGTTGCGGTTCCCAAGCTTGAGCCTATAAAAATTAATTTAAATTTTTATCAGATTGCCTTTGTTACATTGAATTTTTAATAGCAAACTTATATTTCTATAATCCGATATAGAACACGTATTTATGTACATACATATATTATAATGGAATGTTGAAAGAAAAGCATTAGAATAGTATTTTTGAACATTTTCTAAACGATTATTGGGAGAAAACCAAACATTGATTGCACAACAAGAAAAAAAATTTTTTTTGTTACAGTAGATAATAATATAGAAGCTCTTAATAGGTTGAACTTTCACTTAGTCATTTAATAGCTTCTGGATAAATTTTAAGTTTTAATATAAAAATTTTAGCAATAAAATTACTAACCGTTATTATAAACGACAAAATAATTGTTTGAAGGATTCAGTCCCTAGCCAAAAGTGACGAAGTTTTCATATTATATAAATAGCGAATGAAATGATGAAAATTTAACAATTGCCATGCAAAAAACCTTGCTTTTTGTATAGTAATTTTTAATTTTTAGCCGTTTTCTCACAAAATTGCAAAGAGTGCTTATTAGTTTTTCTCTGTCCATTCGTGTGTTCTATGATCTGTTGGTTCGTCTATTTGCAAAATGGTACAGAATTTGAACCAAAGATTTGCTATGGTATTACCAACCGCCATGTATACAATAAGGTAGTTTATGTAATGACACCATATTTTGGATATCGAGTTTTCGGTGGAGTAAACTACTTTTAGAGAGATGTCGATCTGTGTGTGCACGCGTGTATCTCAAGTTCGGCTGAGCCGATTTTGATGAAATTTTCTATGTGAGCTTATTTTGGCTATGGCGCGCATTGATCAACATTTCATATATATTAGAGCTCGGGAACTGGACTTTTTTGCCAATTTTACATTTTTGCGTATATAACAGGAAATAACCAACCAATTTCGTTGAAATTTAATATTTAAATTCGGAATGTTAAAACAATGAATTTGTAATTTTTTTTGGAAAAATCTGTTCTCCAAAATCCAACGGAAGGCCGATTTTACATTTTTTACCATACCTACAGGACGGATTGATGGAAGTTTTTGAAATTTGAGTTCTAGTTGTTATCGAAACTAAACGGTGAGCTTTTAAGTTAATTCGGGAGGTACAAAGCGAAATTCTACTAAAGCCCAAATTTATATTTTTCTAGGTATGTTAGCCAAAAACTTGCTAATTTGCATAAAATTTAACGGAACTGTTCGAAATGTATTTTTATAATCCTCTGTAACTATTTCACTAAATGAGGCAATGCACATTGCGGTCGGTTATGTTCTGACCACATCAGGTTTTTTTTGTACATTCACAAGCAGGACACCTCATTGTATAATGTTGCCAATATTTCTATGACGGTAAATGAAAATAACAATGAAAATAAATAATTATGTGAGTTTAAATATGATATTAAAAACTTGGATATTTGAAGAAAATATATTAAGCGGCATATCTTATTTGAAATAGTTCCACGTTATATACACATTAAATACATACCAAGTTTGACAAAATTTGATAAATTTCACATTTAATTCGTATTGATTCAAAGCACTTCATTTGAATAGTATATACTTATGCATTTACATAAATACGACCTTCTAACATTAAGTTAATTGAACAAAATATTATGCTGTTATTAGAAAATTGTTTATAGTTCATTTTGTTTTTGTAATCTGGCGAAACCAGATTTTACGCTTTTTCTCAATACTATTTGATGAGAAGAAAAATTATTACACAAAGAAATTTTTTTCGGTTTATTTAACTTATTACTTACTTGTTGTTGGATAAGGATCCGATGAATATGTTCTTAAACTACCAGCATAATTTGTTGGTGTTTCGTAGCTTGATTGCGCGGCGTCCACCGATTGGCGAGCTGCTGCAGCTACTGCAGCTACAGCATTTCTTTCATCAGTAATAGGATATGGCTGACTGCCTTCATACCAATATCGCTGTAAAATAAATTGAATAACTTAATAAGAATTGCATATTCAATTATTTTAATAATCATGTTAATTAAATAATCGTATAAACAGACCAGTCATTTAAAGTGACACATATTTTTAACTGAAAGTAAGAGCAGATATTTTTGATCAATTTAACTATGTGAACCCCTATAGATGTTCTCAAGGACAAAACCTGACAAAAGAATCCATACAATCCCTTCTTAACATTTTTTTCAAATGGAAGCCCTATGTCACAAAAACTTTTTGCTATGTCACAAAAACTTTTTGCTATGTCACAAAAGCGTTGTAATTTGAATGGGAATTTGTTTGTTTTTTTAATTGAAAATTTTGGTATGAATAATGTGGAAAATAACAATACAATATCACAAAAATATAATAAAAACTGAGGATAATTCATTTTAAAAATTTGCCTATAATTCACCGCCCGTTTATGCTTTTTAACACAAAAAGACAAAGTTTTACACAGAAGAAGGTAGAAGATAAAATATTTTGTAAAACCTAAAAGCAATTTTAAATTAAGTAATAAAGTTTGTAAGCTAAATATTAATGTTATGCTTTTTTCGTCCTTTGCAGTGTTTTTATGCGCTTAAATTGTTATTTCTTTGCAAATTATTAAGGCAAGTTGTTTGTTGTAAATTATAAATAAATAAATAAATTCCTCAATCAAATTATGACTGACTCTAAAAGCAAAAATCTGATGTGGTAAGCACATAACCGACCGCAAAGTATATTGTCTAGATTAGTAAAAGTATTCCAAAAGATTATGAAAATGTGTTTTAAACACTTCTTCACAATTTTAAGGGCACTAATAAGCTTTTAGTTAGCATACCAAAAAAGTGTGGATTTGGCTCCTAGTAGACTTTCATTTTGTACCATCAGAAATTATATGAAAATTCTTCAATAACTTCGGTTAACTACCAGAATTCAAATATTAAATTTGAAGATCTGTGATATCTTAAGAAAAATTTAGCACTACAACCCAACCTTTATATCAGCATAAATTTTCGATAATTATTTTTTCCAAAATTTTTTTTAAAATTATTCAAAATTAAGCTGAAATAAAGAATTTTTTCAATCCTGTGTAATTCTTTCCATTGTACTTTAGACCTAAATCTATCTTAATATCTTTAATTTAAACAGGCTCTGGACTAAAGCGTTAAAGGGAAATATAACATCTTCCAAAACATGGGTTTGAACGACTACTTTATTTTTTATAATGTTTATATGTACATATTATGTATAAATAACTTTCATGTTATATTAATGTTAATGTACATATTTACTTTTTTAAATAAACATTATTTTTGAAAGCTGCTAAAATTTATTTAACGTTTTGAAAATTAAAGTCTCCTCTGCGTTAATTTATCTGTGTTATGATGCAAGCTCTCAGGAAAAAACAATTTTTTTTGGTTTTTTAAATACGTTTTTAATTAAACTTCAATTGAAAATGTTTGCACGTTTATATAACAGTAAATAATAAAACTATTGAGTCATAACCCATTCACAGGGTCAAGTTTCCCTTTTTCTAGGTCTGGTAGCTAAAAACTAAGTTGCGTCCTTAAAATTTGAAAGTATTCAAAGGACATTTTCACAATCGCATTTTCGCCAAACCAAAAGATATACTTTTCGTTCAATCATGAGCTCACATCATCAAATTTTTACCAACCGCATTGCATACAATAAGGGAGATTAAGTGATGCCACCAAATTTTTCCTATCAAATTTTAGATGGAAACGCACTTCTCCAAGGGGGAAGCATAAATAAATAATTTTTAACGAGACGTTAGTCAGTCAGACCGTCTCAAATATCTCAAGTTCTGCTGAACCAATTTTCATGAAATTTTAAATGTGAGTTTATATTGACTATGTCATGGGTTTATTAACTTTTAGGATATTGAATTACTTTTAGGCCCCGAGAAGTAGACCTTTATATTTTTAAGAAAATATTGAACAAATTAATTTGAGCCGATTTTACAGTTTCCGCCATATCCTAGTTGACGAAACTAGTTGACAGAATTTTTTATAATTTAACATTTGATTTTATTTGAATTTTATATTAAAATTTAATATTTGAGAACGGAGTTCGAATAGCACAAACGGAAGCTGTACTAAAAGCAAAATTTACATTGTTCTAGCTATGTCAACTAAAAACTTAGTAGCATTCTTAAAATTGAAAAGAAGTATTCATTTCATGAAAAGCATTCGCAAAATTGAACAATACATTTAATTTTATTACAAAATTAAGTTATTGTTAAACTTATATTAAAATTAATCACATTTCACTTTGTAAATAAAATTAATTCATATTTCTATGAACTACTAAAACATGTTTAATAATACTTTTAAAAGAAGGTATTACTGAATTAAAATAAATTAATAACGAAAGATTTCAGAAAAAGAAATTTTTGTTTCCAAAATGTAATAAGTATTGTAGTGTAATCACTTTTTTGATTTAGTTTTTTTGCTTTCATAGTACTTGTTATTGTGCCATTGTTTTTCAATGCCGAATCTGAAAACTTGTTTTCAAAAGCAGCTGAATAAACTATGATATAGTCATATAAAATTTCATACAAAATTTTTTCAAAATAATTAGTCTGATCCACATTCCAAACTGCGAATTTTCTTTCCCGAGCCTCTTTTCACTTTTATAATTATGGTCAACAATAATAATAAGTATTTTTTGCATCACGCTCAATTAAACGTAAAATATTTGATAACTTAAATTTACACAAATATAAAAAAATTTGATGTACATATCACATAAAAAGCCGCAATATATGTTGCCCATAGTTTAGAAAGTGTTACAGAAGATTATGAAAATGGCTTTTGAACACTTACTTTCAATTTTGAGGAACTTAGCAAAATTTCAGCTATAACATACCTAGAAAAGTGTTAATATACCTCTAGAAGTAGAATTTTGTTTTGTGCCACCCGAATTTCCTAAAAATCACCAGTTAGTTTTGGTAACAACCAAAACTCAAATTTCAATAAATTCTATAAATCCCTTCCGCAGATACGGTAAAAAATGTAAATCCATGATCTTTCCAAAAATTTATTAATTCATTGTTTTAACACCCCAAATTTAAATATGACATTTCAAGGAAATTGGTTGATTTTTTCTCTTTATATACATACTCAAAAATACAAAATTCCCCCGGAAAAAAGTTCAATTTCCGAGATCTGATATATCCCAAAAGTTAATCAATTCGTGCTATAGTTAAAATAATCTCAAATATAAAACTTCATTCAAATCGGTTCAGTCGCACTTGAGATACTCGTACTCGCGTGCACACACAGACAGACATTTATAAAACTAAAAAAAACTTTATTTACGCTTCCCTACTATGAAGTAGTGCGTTCCCACTGAAAACTCTATATCCAAAATTTGGTGCTGTTACATCACCTACCTTATTGCATATAATGCGGTCGGTAATAAACTCACATAAAAAATTAGTTCAGCCGAACTTTTGAGGTACACCCGTTCACACACAGACCGACAGACGGACCGAAAACTCGATGTGCAAAATTTCTTGCCATAACCTTCCTTATTGTATGCAATGCGGTAAAAAGGAAGTTAATGAAATTGTTTAGGTTTGAAAATAATGTTGAATTCCTTATTTTTGAGAATTTGAATTGAATATTGAACTGTGTAATAATTTCATCCTGATTCGTTATAAGTATAACGAATAATTTTTATTAAATATTTGATATTTTGTTTGAAAAGGTTTATTCCAATTTTTAAAGTAAATTCAAATTACATTTTACCAATAAATTAATAAAATTTATTATTTTATAAAAAAAGCAAAAATAATTAAATAACACATGTCTAGGGTGATAAATATTTATATTTCATAAAATCATAACTACAATAAGTAGTAAAGTAATTATTATTTAAGAAATTTATTATTAAATGTGATAATTATTATTATCACATTTGATCACTATGAGATATAAACAATTCTTGAAAAACCTAAAATATTTCTGTTTTTTTTATATCCCCGCGTCTTCGTGAAGAGCATATTCACTATGGCATGGAGTTTGTAACCACTTGAACAGTCGTCTATAGCTTGGACAAGTATATATATTCTGGCTCAGCGTAAAATTATGTGCTGATTTACTCATGTCGGTCCGATCGCACGATAACTCAAAAGCGAATAATGCAATCGGCAGCAAACTTTCAAAAGTTGTTTGCCATACAACTCAAAAAGATTTTTTTAAATATTTCAAAAACTAATAGAGATATTAATATCAAATGTCCAATTAAAGGGGTGTCCAATTACATTTTACATATGTTCCACAAATTTTAATGGAATGGCTGCATTGGTTCGGGTAGCTGCCATACAACACTAAATGCTAATGAAAAAATAGTAAAGTTAGAATAATGAAACTTGGCAGTTGTGTAACCGATTTCGGATCAACTACATCTCTGAAGTTTTGGTTCAACGGATTGGCAGGTTTAGATAGCTGCCATACAACTCCAAAAATAAATTTTTAATTTCAAATATAAGTTTTTAAACTCAGGTTGTCAAGGTGCGTAAAATTCGGTCAGTTTATACCGACTGAAACATTTTTACTTGTTAAATAATATATGAATGCGATTAAGTCAGAAAAATCCACCTAGGTCCGGGGCGTTAGATCATCTAATATTCATAAAACAATGTCACTTTACTTGAAGGGAAGTTAAGCTAATCTCATTCCATAAGACATTTTTGTAACCTGTACAAGATTAAAAAAGTAATTTATGACTAATTTTTTTCAAAAATAGCGGAAACTAGAACTTTTCTAGTAACCTCCAACAATTTTTTTTTGTTGTTTTTTTTTAGGTTCACTTTTTGTGATAAGTGGAAAATGGTTACATAATAAAGATTATTATTATTAAAGATTAGGGCTTGTAAACCTAATTCCTTTGAAACATATCGTTGGTTTGACAATCAGAGTTACAATGTAATATTCAAAAGTAATCTGTTGATTATTTTCGTGTATAAG